CTGGCTTGGGGGGAGGGGGGGGCAAGTATAGGGAGGGCAGGGGAGCCAGGATATCTACCCCTGCCCTGCTGGTTTGGGCTCAGTGTTTTTTTACTGTGGGAGGGTCTGGAGATGGAAATGATGGAGGGTAGAGGGGGTTGGAGATTGTGGGGGGCTGGCCCAGTAGTGACCAAGTTCCCCTGGCTTCTGGCAGGCTGGAATGAGCTGCTGATCGCGTCATTCTCGCACCGCTCCATCTCGGTGAAGGACGGCATCCTCCTGGCCACAGGGCTGCACGTGCATCGCAACAGTGCCCACAGCGCCGGTGTCGGTGCCATCTTTGACAGGTGGGGGGCGGGGGGGGCCGAGGGGGCTGGGGAGCCGGCACCGAGCTCCCCTCCCCTCCCCTCCCCCGGCTGGGGCAGGGTGGGGGTTCCAGCCCCCCAGCTGACGGGTTCCCCCCACCCCGTCTCCAGGGTGCTGACGGAGCTGGTGTCCAAAATGCGGGACATGCGCATGGACAAGACGGAGCTGGGCTGTCTGCGCGCCATCATCCTCTTCAACCCAGGTGCGTGGGCAGGGACCAGGCTCAGGCAGGAAAGCAGAGCTGAGCGCCGAGTTAGTGACTCAGAACCGGGGAGTGCCTGGGACCGGCATTGTCCCTGGCACTGCCATTGTCAGGGCTGCACTGTGGCTGCTGGGCATAGCTGAGGGAGCTGGGGTTTCCTAGGCTCGGAGGCTCTGCCAGAGGGGATTTTCTTTCTCCGGCTGCTATAGGGGTCCAGCAGTGCTGGGTGGTGGCTACAGTTCAGACTGGGGCTGGCGACAGGACTGTCCCAATGCTGCTGGCGGTCACCCCCAAGGGGTCCTGCCTGGAGGGTATTGCACCTCAGCTCAGGGTCAACCCGATGCTGCCTTGGGGTCAGGAGGGAGCTTCCCCTTGCGTTGGGGAGGGGGGCAGAGGTGTTTCTTCCTTTCTGCAGCAGGGTCTGGACTCTGCTTGGCATCTCTGCCTGTGCCTTAACCTCGGGGCCTTGGGCTGAGGTATGAGGATGCAGCCAGACCAGGACATCTGAGGGGTTGGGCTGGGGCTCGCACACTGCCTCAAGCAAGTGTTTGGTGAACTGTGACCCCCAGAGCGCCTGGCTTGCTCTGCTTTGAGTCTAACCCAGGGAGACGTTCCCACTCGCCCGTCTTCCATCCCAGCCCCTGTGACAGGCTGAGATGTCACGGGCAGGCCCAATTCCGTCCCAGGGACTCTGGCTGGGGGAGAGGGGAGCCAAGGGCCAGGTCGCGGGGCATGCTGTGACCCCCAATATTCTCCTCCTGCAGACGCCAAGGGGCTGTCGAACCCGGGGGAGGTAGAGCTGCTGCGGGAGAAGGTGTACGCATCGCTGGAGTCCTACTGCAAGCAGAAGTACCCGGAACAGCAGGGCAGGTACGGGAGGGTGGGGG